ACACTAATTTTCTATTGACTAGATCCGGAAATAATTTTTCACTCAACGAATCATTGTCCACCGTGTGATAATATTTAAACTTCGCATGTTACATATCGCATCTGAAGTAACACTTGCTCCTGTATTTTGTGTCAGATGACCTCTCAAAAGAACCCGTTCACCATGCATACCGGTTTTGAGAGGGCCAACAGTATTATAGTTTTAAAGAGAAAAAATTTTATTATTAAGCAACTGAAATTTTATTAATAAAATTACAAAAGCTTTACTAATTAAAGTTATTTTTTAAATCAAATCCTATAATTTGTATCAGGATTATAGGGGACATATCTTATTTAAAAAGTTTGTCAAGAGTATAAATTTTTAATTTTTTTAAGCAATTATTTTTAATATTTTTACTATAGACAACTATACCTTTTTTCTTCTAATTTAAAATAAATACTACTATTTTATATTCCTTATTCTCAAATATTATTATATAAAATTTTTTTGAATATTTTAATTTTTAATAAAAAATAGATTAACATAAATATTTTAATATTTTAGCTTGCAAATTTGCCAGCTAACTAGTGACGGTTTAAGGGATAAAAAAAATATACAATAATAAACAAATATTAAAGCTAAGTTATTATGCAGTTACAAGCTGAGAATTAGTTGTACGCAGTATTATTGATATTGGAACACCTGCAGAATCGGATTCAGAAAGCAGATTTCCATTATGTATACCGTTCATTATCACTTTGTTAAGGTCGACAAATGAAAATAAAGAAGCACCACTATCGCCTATTCTAGATGAATAAGATGAAATAATCATTTTCTCTTTCATATGTCTATCATTATTTATTGAAATTCCATTAAAACCTATTATGTCCCCACAAGTAACACGGGTTCTAATGCCAGATTTACATATATGTGCACCAATACTAGATGCAGGTTCACCATATATAATACGTAATTGAGAATTGCGTTTAGAATCCGAATTCCTTATAAATGCTTCTAGTTTAAGTTTTTCACTCATTTCACTTGTATCTATTATGCCAATATCATATGGTTCTACAGCGTATCTTATTGACCTCCCAACTATTTGACGTTGTAAGGTAGTTCTATTCCATGGTTTATAAAAACAATCAACTCTACTAGTTCTGTCAAGAGGATACCCTAGAAAACAATGTCCGGCAGTTATTAAGTACTTATCATCTCGTTTTTTTACCAATAAACCTATTGAACATGTATGGTTTTGACCTATACCTCTTATAAATAAACCATCACCGACTAACACTACTGTCCTTATACAAAATAACCCTTCTAAACATCTTTTGTCAACAATTTCATTTCCTTCTTCTTGAACTGCTTGACGATTGCGACAATCGAGTACATTTATTATTGGGTTTAATGATTCGATTACATCTATAAATTGAAAATTTTTTGTACTTTCACAAATAGATATAACTACATTATTTTTACGTATATCGGTATAAATAATTGCACTGTTTGGTCTGAATTTTGAAATTTTTGTTTTTATCTCATTAAACATTGATTCTAATTCATTAAATGAATTTTGTACATCTTTAAATTCTAAACGATCTATATGTGGTGCTATTTGAGATGAATTTGTTATATCCGGAACCCTAGATGAATTTGCTACGTTAATAACTACTTTGTTTCGTGATATATCTATAAAAGTTTTTGCAAAGTTTGAATCATCCAGCACTTCTTTTAAAAGTCCATCTATATTGACTAAATTCTTTTCTCTAGCTAGTAACCTTTTTATGTCTGCATCATCCACATCCCAGAATTTCGCTAATGGTTCACTCTTATCTGCATGAACTATCCGAAATATAAAGATGTTCCATAATAAGATTATTAAAAAATGAATGTACCTCATAACGATAATAATAATAAATGCGTATTATCGGATATTAATAAAGTTATTTATAGATTTAACCTTTTGGTGCTACTATCAATTTCGGAAAAGAAATAGCGATAATGAATATATAAAATTTAGAAAAATAACCAGAATTGAAAATGACGATTTATATATGTTGTAAATAGGGATCTACTTATATTGGAACGTAATAATATTAAAAATTCTATTCCTAACCTTAAATTTTCAATTCTATCACCATTTACGACATATGAGTGCGAGAGTGGGAAAAAGGCGCCTCGTTTTTTTTTAGTAAGTTATTGATTATTTCGGGCATTAAATATATCCGATATCGATATTATTGATATCGGATATATTTAATGCCCGCTGTCTTCGGACTGAAAGTCCGGAGACAGAGATGTAACTTCTGAGAAGTTAGGTAATTTACTGAATGAAACAGAGGTAATTTCGGTCATCTGAAAATTTTTCAGGTGTCCCAGAAATAATGATAATAGCTGTTAGTATAAGCATTTCAGGGTGAAGTTTATTTTATATAAACCATATATTCTAACCCTTAAATTCTAAGAACTTCTAAATCCACTTAAATTCCATTCCCACTAACAGCACTAATAAAGAAAAGCTTTTTTACTATAATTTTTACTATATTAAAAAAGGTCATATCAACCTTCATTATGACCAGTGTTGTCACTTTACTATGTCCAGTGGCTGTAAACTACTGGACTGGACTATATTGGACTTATTAAATTATTATG